GTACAGGGTCTCACTATGCAGCTTGGACTTGTAGTGATCCTACTGTCTCAGTCTCCTCAGCTTTGGGATTAAAGGTGTGCACTGTAATGGGTTCTCAACACAGAAACCAGACCAAAATCCAATTATCAAATTCTATGAGACTTAATTACTGGGCCCCGGAACGCTTGACCATACTCATGTAGGAGAGGACAAACGGCCAGGAGCCTTAGAAGTATAGAGGTTTTAAAGGTAGAAACTGCATCCCGTTTGGCAAACAAACTTGTCGTTTAACATAGAACAGTACTTTTAGGGACAGCATGACCATTACTCAGCATATACTTTTTTCTGGGAACTCTCAGTGTATTGAGATGGTTTATCGACGGTACACCAAGCCTCCTTGTGGTCTTACAAGGACGCAGGGCTACAGATAGTTGAGCAGAGTAATTTTTTACATTTAGTTTTACATTAACTCATCACATTACTTTTACATTAACCCTTCACATGTGCCACCATGCCTTCACGACGGCCAGCTCAGCCTGCTAGGGGGTGGGGCTGGCTCGGCTTGTGGTGCTGGGGATGGTGAGTTGAAGCCATTTATGTTGATGGTTATAATTCATGTTGGCTTTTCTTTCTCATGTTTTTGTTATTTGTTTCCTGTCTTTCTGTTTGGTTTAACTGTTTGTCATGCCTAGTGGCTCCATCCTGTAGCTGTTGGATTTTTTTTTTTTGTGGTCTCTTGTCACTCTTAAGATATCTATCTTTTGGGGCTGGAGAGATAGCTCAGAGGCATAAGCACCTACCTGGCAAGCATAAGGACCCGAGTTTGATCCCCAGCCCCACATGCTGCAGGAGCTCTGCTCCGGATCCCCCAGATTGGGCGTCACCATGTTCGGGTGTGGTGGCACATGCCTGTAATTCCAGCACTGGGAGCTTGAGCCAGAAAGATCTTTGAGACCAGCCTGGGGGTACAAAAAGTGAGCACAAGGCCAGCCTGAATTGCATAGTGAGACCCCATCTCAAAAACAAACAGCAACAACAAAAAGATATCAATCTTTTCCTGGTTGTTAGGCGAATTCCTGTCTTGTAGATCTGACCTGCATCTTCCTCTACATTTAGTCTGCTGTGTATGCTTATAGTGGAGTTTCGACTCTCCTTCATTTCGGTTTGGATCTGCTTCATTGAGTCCATTTCTTTTCTGTTTTTCATTCATGGTCTCTATCATTTTCCTGAGCTCCTCTATTTTTTAAAAATCTGTGTCTGTTTTAACGTCTTTATTTTGATAGTGGTTTTTCTTTTCTTTTCTTTCTTTTTCTTTTTCTTTTTTTTCTTTTTTCTTTTTTTTGCAGTACCAGGGATTGAACTCAGGACCTTGTGTTTGCCAGGCAAGTGCTTATTCTACTGAGCTATCTCCCCGGCCGATAGTGATTTCTTTTTGCACCTTAGAGATTAGTTTTTTACGTCCTCTCTCATTTGTTTTTTCACTTCTACTGCTATAATTGTGGAGGAGCAGTGGAAGATTCACAGGACTCAGGCTTATAGTCCTTCCACTGGCACCGCTTCCACCCTTCCCACCAGAAGCTCTGCTCTGGAGAATGGAGGGCGCACAGGGCTGACTCATTCTCCTTCTACGGGCGGTGCAGACCCGGGACAATGGAGGACACGCAGAGCACGGACTCACTCTCCTCTTGCGGGCGCTGCGGACCTGGGGCAATGGAAGAGGCACAGAGCGCGGACTCGCTGTCTTCCTGCTGGCGCCTCGAACCCGGGCCAGTGGAGGACTCTCAGAGCAGGGACTCACTCTCCTCCTACTGGCCCCACAGACCGGGGCTGGTGGAGGACACGCAGAGTGTGGACTCACTTTCCTCCTACTGGCTCCACAGACCCGGGGCAATGGAGGACACGCAGAGGGTGGACTCACTCTCCTCCTACTGGCTCCACAGACCCGAGCTGGTGGAGGACACCCAGAGTGTGGACTCACTCTACTCCTACTGGCTCCACAGACCCGGGGCAATGGAGGACACCCAGAGCGTGGACTCACTCTCCTCCTACTGGCTCCACAGACC